TGCAAGTGGTAGTCTCTTTATTTGAGATAGATTATATGTTACCCTTTCCAGGTGAAATACCTTGGTTAAAGAAGAAATTGAGACCAGTTTGTGGCTTATGGTCAGGATCAAGGGGAAGTTTATTTGATTCTCCATCAAATGGTATCTCTTCAAAGAAGTTTCGCAAGAGAAGTTTGTTGTGAATTCATTGCAAATCACAATCTCTTTATTTAATATAGCTTGTATGTTACCCTTTCCAGGTGAAATACCTTGGTTAAAGAAGAAACTAAGACCCGTTTGTGGCTTATGGTCATGATCGAGGGGAAGTTTACTTGATTCTCCATCAAATGGTATCTCTTCGAAAAAGTTTTACAAGAGAAGTTTGTTGTGAAATCATTGCAATTGGTAGTCTCTTTATTTGGGATAGCTTGTATGTTACCCTTTCCAGGTGAAATACCTTGGTTAAAGAATAAACTGAGACCAGTTTGTGGCTTATGGTCAAGATCGAGGAGAAGTTTATCTGATTCTCCATCAAATGGTATCTCTTCGAAGAAGCTTCGCAAGAGAAGTTTGTTGTGAAATAATTGAAAGTGGTAGTCTCTTTATTTGAGATAGCTTGTATGTTACCCTTTCCAGGTGAAATACCTTAGTTAAAGAAGAAACTGAGACCAGTTCGTGGCTTATGGTCAGGATTAAGGGGAGGTTTATCTGATTCTCCATCAAATGGTATCTCTTTGAAGAAGTTTCACAAGAGAAGTTTGTTGTGAAATCATTGCAAGTGGTAGTCTCTTTATTTGAGATAGATTGTATGTTACCCTTTCCAGGTGAAATACCTTCGTTAAAGAAGAAACTGAGATCATTTTGTGGCTTATGGTCAAGATCGAGGGAAAGTTTATCTGATTCTCCATCAAATGGTATCTCTTCGAAGAAGTTTCTCTAGAGATGTTTGTTGTGAAATCATTGCATATGGTACTCTCTTTATTTGAGATAGCTTGTATGTTACTCTTTCCAGGTGAAATACCTTGGTTAAAGAAGAAACTGAGACCAGTTCGTGGCTTATGGTCAGGATTGAGGGGAAGTTTATCTGATTATCCATCAAATGGTATCTCTTTGAAGAAGTTTCATAAGAGCAGTTTGTTGTGAAATCATTTCAAATGGCAGTCTCTTTATTTGAGATAGCTTGTATTTTTACCCTTTCTAGGTAAAATAAATTGATAAAGGAAGGAGTTGAAACTCGTTCTAGGTAGAACGCCAGAATTTTGGGAAACTCGTTATTGTTCTTTGAGACCTCACCTTCTGTAAAAGCTGGTGTATTCTTTTTTCTCTCTACCATCAATAAAAGTAGGTAGTTCACCTTCAGTAAACGTTGGTGTTATTCTTGAATATCTACCTTCAGTAAAAGTTGGTATTTTCTCTATATCTTTACCTTTAGTGGGAGTCGGTAGTTAACCTTCAGTAAAAGTCGGTGCATATTTAATATCTCTACCTTCAGTGGAAGTTGGTAGTTCACCTTTAGTAAACAGCAGTGTATCTTCTATTTCTTTACCCTGAATAAAATTCAGTATTGTCCTATGTTTTTTCTACCTTCATCCTTGGGTGGGTAGTTCATTACCATTCTTAGGCAAGATTGATCTCTTCCTCCTCATTGGACCTTACTCGAGTTGAGTTGAGTTATTTCCAACCATAAGTGCTAACGCAAAATCTTTGATTACCAGGCATAAGTATTGATACCAATCACTCACTTACTAGTCTAGGTGTTGATGTTTATCGTCATCTCTAAGCCTTTATTATCTTTACCGTTTCTATTCGCGCCCTTCTGTTTAGAAGTTGTTGATCCTTTGTATGGATATTATTCTCTTTTTTCTATCTCCTCTATGAGTGGTAGTTCACAGTTATCGGTTAATATTTGTTATTCTCATTTTTTTAAGTTGATGTCATTTTTTCTCTTCTCTGGATCTTACCCTAGTAGAGTTAAGTCCTCTTTTTCCCAGCGGAGTCGATTTGTCTCTAATGGATTCAAATTTCTATCCCCATGGTTGTGTTATTCTCCAGGGATTTATTTTCCTAGTCAACTTATTTTTGTTAGTCTGTTGATTTTATTTTCACTTCTCCAGTTTGTCTTATTCACCTGAATGAAGTTTATATCTTACACCCATAATCATAAGCATCGCATGGCATCTCAAGTCTAAAAATAGGGCTTGTTTTGTATTTAAGTATCTTCAATCACGTTGAGACAAAATTTTTTACCTTTGTATCTCTGGATAGAAGACACTTAAACAAGGGCAGCTGTTATACCCTAATTTTTGCCCCTAAGATCCCTCATCACATCATATATATCTCATGCATATCATTGATTCCATGGCTATGAGATCAACGAAGAGCTCTTGGCGTTGAGGTTTTTCCCTATGAATTGAGGTTACTATCTTACCCAAAGTTAATTCAACTAGTGTTCTTATCATTCTTGGTACGAGATTAGAGTTTTGAATCTCCAACATCATATACGTCTTCCCTGACAAAATTCCTCAGGATACAAAGTTATCTTCATCATGATTTTTCAATAAGCAATAATTAGGGTTTCTCCTAAGTGCTTTCTCCAATAAAAATTCTTTTTAAGAAGTCTAGAGGACTGAACAAAGAATTATTTCATGTGATGCTATTTGTTAAATGGTTAAGGATTGACTGGAGATTTCATCAAGATAATTCTTGGTGCTTAAGCTGTGAATCAAGGTAGGTTTTCTTCTTGGGCTTTGATTAAATAGAAGATTTGGATTGAGTTTCCATTGGAGGTGATTTGAAGATTCGTTCAAGAAATTCCTTTAAGCCCAGATTAATTCAAGAAAATTCATATAATGGTTTGTATGGAATTCAAAGTGGGTGACTCAAATATCATTCAAAGTCAATGCGAATTCAAGCCCGTTTTATGAGAATTTCTTTAAAGGAGAAATACTTGAAATTTAAGACATTTCTCATTCATTCTTATTCCATTCAAATCCCTTTCAAGTGAATATTTTGGCGCAATTTGTCAAATGGATTTAAATTTTAAAGATGGAAGACTTGTTCAAGACTTAATTCAAACATCATACAGGTACTGATGCAAACCCTTCATCATCCATTATTCGGGGTTCCAAACTTCATGGTTCATTCTATATTGCAAAATCAAAGAAAATACTTCGAATTTTTAAATGCAAATTAGAGGAAGCTTTGTTCATTAGTATCCTCGAATCATTACAAGTGGAAATACTCAAAAAAATAGAGAGAAGGAATTGCAAGACAAAGTTTCTCTTACAAGGCCAAAAAATCATTTCAATACACAAAAGCAAAAGATACTAATAGTTCTTACATGGAGATCAAATCAAAGAAGGTTGAGATTTCAAGCTCATGGTGAAAGAAGAAGTTTGAATATTATGGAGTTTCATAAATTGAATTCAAGAAAGTACAAAAGGGTTGATTCCGTTGTTATTACAAATTATGTCCAAATATCCATTCAAGCTTCAAAATACAGTCCATAACGTCAGGAAATATTACAGGAAGGGGAAATGTAAAGGAAAAATACTACAAAACCTAATTCTAGTTTCCAAGTTGTTTAACTCCAAAGTTTACTTGGATCCAAAGCTTCGCGGCATGTCCAAAGTTCAAATCATGCATCAAGATGGAAGAAAACTTGCTCCTGCCTAGATTCACATTGCCCTGTATATATGCGTAAAACCATATCAGTTTCACTACAAAAAATATAAAATGCTTCAAAATAGTTCAGGCTGCCAAAACTTTAAAAAAAAGTTTCAAAGAAGATGTAGTCACCAAGAAGAACTTCTAACATCATATCGGTTCTTGATATTAGCAGAGGATTCATAACCAATGATTTCCAATAAATTCCTAGCTGAATCTAATTTGTTAAAACTTATTTTCCAGTCCACAATCATCTTCAGCCCTGCCATATTCATAAACAAAATAAACAGTTCAGTTCAACGGTCTACAAGTTTAATTAGAAAAATAGTTTAACATCCCGCATCAGAGAACCAATAGGTTTCCAACATGCAGCCAACTAATTAACCGAGTTATAACAGAAATTTGTCAGCTCATCAACATTCATAACTAACTCTCTAATAACTCTAACCCTCTCTTAACTAATTTCTAAGAGCAATAACATAATTCAATAGAGAGAGGGAGGGAAAGATTCATAACAGAATGGGGTCTTCTATATAACAAGAAGATAACATAAAAAAATGGGGGGAAAAGATAGACTCACAAGAAATTCACTCTGCAATCTTCATCTTCAACTTTCACTCTTCAGAATCCTCAACCTCCATCTTCAGCCTCCATCACCATTCCCTGAACCGTATCCTCTCAACTACATCATTCACCTACTTCAACAACTTTCAACCATCACGCTACTACAAATATCAACCGCAATCTACATCATCTTCATACTCATTCAGCAATTATCTTCATCAACATTCAGCAAACCACACTCCTCTTCAATCTTCATCTTCCCTGATCTTTAGACCCCGCTTCATCACTCCACGACCTCCATCACCACTCTCTGAACCGACTCCACAACAGGATCAACCTTCAATTTCCATTCTGAACCTTTATCATCATTCATACAACATCACCTTCATTATCGCTACATCATCATAATCGTGACACACCAACACGCGAATTTCGGAGAAGAGGAAGAAGAAGAATGAGTTCAAAGGCCAAGAGGAGTGGTCGTACCTGAGAGTTCAAGACTCTCTGGATTTCTGTTGGTGTCGTCACCGTTGAAGAACAGCCAGAGTATCTCCAGTAGGTAAGCCACTTTGAATTTCCCCCCAATCCTTCCCCTTCATGTTTATTTCTTGATACCACGTTGCAGCTTAAGTCTCCTTGAGTGTCTCTCTTATGGTTTCGAGTCGAATCCGTGCAGCAGCTTCGTTTAATTGCATTTTTTATGCGCTGGGGTTTACACCTAAGGTTAACTATGTAAAATCAGAGAAAACTAGATTAGTAGATGGTTTAATTGGAGTAGGCTTGAGGTTGTTTCAACCTTTGTCGCCGTGGAGTCGATATTCGGCGCGACAAAGCTTCGGATGGAGAGCGAAATAGTAAGAATCAGAGAAGGTTGATGGCAGCACCGTGAGATTGCATCGATTTGAGAAGATGAAGGATGAGAGTTTAGCCGCGACATTACCATGAACGGTGAGTTGAGATTGAAGCGAGTGCGGTGGCTGGTGGAGGTTTTGCACGGCGGCGCTAGATATGCGGGAAGTGTTGAGTTTTGAACGAGGAAGAGATGGTGTTTGCGAATAAGACCAACAATCACATGTTACTCTAATAATCTCCAAAACACATTGTTCTTCTTTTACATCATGCTTTCCCTTTTTTTTTGTAATGACTGAAAAAAATTTGAACGGGTAGTGTTGTTGATTGTTGGGCCGAAACACCCTTGGCCCTATAAGCCCAACACCCTTTTTATCAAGTTTGATTTTTAGATTAAAAAAAAGGGACCTGCTGGACCGAACTATATCTGTATAGGCCTTAGTTCCATATTATTGATATGCTAAAAACTTTGCACAAAAAACTGCTTCTTGGACTATATTTGATGGGGCCTAGTGCCCATGTTAAGTTTGATATGCAGTACCCCTGATCTTGGCTTACCCCATGACTTTTCTAATCTTTTTTTTAGTTTAAATTTCTTCAAGGTTTCGTATTAAAAAAATAGTGATAAAAAAATATACATATAATAAGCCAATAAAAATATGTATAATTTATATTTTTTTATGATAAAGAATTACGAAATCAATAAAAATTCATTAGAATTTGTTTTTGTTTGATTGTTGTATTTAAACCATGGTTATCCGAATATTTGAGACTTGCGATTCACTTTTACTTGTTGAGTTGAGTCTTATGCAGGTTTCTTGCATGATATGCGGACGTGTTTGAGTTTTCGATTGTGATTTATTTTCACATCGATGATGTCTCGATAATCACTCTGGGCATTCGATCTCTGACTGTTTGTTTGTTGGTGCCAGCTCGCGTGAAGCATTCTGGATTTCTTCTCTTTGGTTGCTTTTCGCGGACATTATTGTTCATTTGGTATTATACTGCTTCCAATTTATTTTTTCGCATTTTATTGCTTTCTTGATATATGTGTCGTGTTTGTGTTTGTTTTCTTAGTTGTTGATCGATGAGTCACTCAATTTAGAAATTGAGATCACGACTTCGCTCTCAGTGCATGCACCCCATAGGATTTTATCTCTTTCCTTTATTTCTTGTTGATCGATGAGTCACTCAATTTAGAAATTGAGATGACGACTTCGCTCTTATTGTATGTTCCCCATAGGATAGTTTGTTAGACTTTCTTTGGCATGCTAACCTATGAAGGATATCTCTAGGTGTACTCTCTCGAGCTTATTGGCCTGCTTTCTTGATTTCGTCTTTGTATGTACGTTTTGAGATGATAGACCCTTTCTTTTCTCCTTTAGGACTTCTTGACTCATCTATAGATGATGAGCAGAGATAGACATTAGGACTGTTATCCAAGCATGTCAACTTAGGGTAGAGATTTCCCTTCAAAGCTCAACTTTAGGATCAATCATTGTATGATAACATTATAGATAGATTTAGGTTAGTCTCCCTTTATACTTTTCTTTCCCCTTTTGCATTTTCATTAAAATAAAAGCTTCTTTTTCTTGCAAACTTCAAGACACTGAAAAATTACTGATGAGAGTCATACCTTTGTTAAGCATGGGAAATGATAAGCGGGTTTCTTCTCGATCTTATTGTTCTTCCATTCTAAGCCTTGGTGTGGTTCAAGTCTCAAAGACTTATTTCATTAATAAATAGAAAAATGGCTAATATCTCTCTCTAGAGATTAAGTAGTTGTTGTCTGTAGCAAAAACACCAACTAATACAAACTCTTTTGCCTTTGGGCTTTTCTTTCAAAATTATTTCTAAAAGGACATGTTAAGTCACTTCTATGATGACGCGTAAGTCTACAAGGGTCGATTTACGATAGAAGGAGAGATTAACATTGTTCATTTAAAAAATACAAACAAACAACATATGTGAACCAAACTACGGCTGCTCTGATTCCTTAAAAGGGATACGTAGGCATTGGGGTAGGGCCCGGACGAGCACAACTTTTATTTTCCCTAAATTATTTTCCATTTTCTTTTCATGTGTTCCCTCTTATCATTTTATAGCTCTTAAGCATTAGATTTAACACACCCTTTGATTAGAACAACAAGAGTGGATCCCGTAGAGTACTACGAACGTGTGGATGCTAATACCTTCACTGTCGCACGCAATCTCCATCGTCAAAGACGAGAAGATGAATGAAATGCGACAATAATGATAGGAAAAGGATGTAACGGTAAAGATTTGAGATTTAAGCCATCAATTGACTTATCTCAACACAATGAAGTCACCACCGCACTTTATTGTTTCCAAAAGGAAATGGGAAAAAAGAGAAAAAAACCCACAATGAAATAAAAGTTTAGAGATCGAGGTACGGGGGTCGGTCATTCAAAGGGTAGGTATTAGAACCCTAAGCATCTACGGTACTCCTCATGATCCACTTTGTTTGGTTTCTTTTTAAATGAGTGTTATGTAAATTTTTACTTGCTAAAGAAATAGAATGAATGAGTATTTGCAAACAAAAGAAAATGTTTTTTTTTTATAATTTTTGTTGCTCACCTTGGGTCGTAACACTTAGTGCCTACGTACTCCCTTGTGCAATGGGAAAGTCAGAGCACCATAGTTCGGATAGAAAAGACTTGTCTATTGATTGATTTTAAACGAAAATACAAGTCGTCATTGTTAGGAGAGAAATGTCGACTAACGCCCACAAGGTGTGAGAAAGATGGACCCTGCGTCAGCAAGAGTGGGGGTTTGAGAACGCCTCTACTACTCAAGTGGAAAAGTTGACACCTTTATAACCATGGGGATATGAGAATGTTGCTCGACTATCAATGAATCATGTCTCATATTGAAAAAAAGTTTGAACGGTAAGAGTGCTTGAGCGTACAAAAGAGTTTGAATAAGTTGAAGTGTTTTTTTGTTAATTTTGAAAAATGTCAAAGTATGATTAAATGAATTGAAGTTTGTTTAAAGAAAATAAGTTTTAAAAGAAAAGGCGCTCGGCAAAGTTGAGGTTTATTATGAAAGCGGTTCGAGTTTTAAAAATGAGAAGTATTTTCAAAAGGAGGGAGAAGGTTTTTGAAATTAAAGAAGATGGGAGGAGATGAATGGACTATCCTAAAGCATAAGGTAAAAGCTAAGGAAGAGAACCGTTTAACCAATAAGAATTCAATACTTGACATTATGAGTCAAGATAGAATTCCTATTCTTTAGATTGAAACCAAGCAAGGATACTAAACCTCTTGAGAAAACCAAGCTTTAATGTATTAAGTCTTCACAAAAATTGGGCAGAGTAGCGGCTGTATACAGATGAATTCCAATTACAGAGAAAGTATGTAATCAAAATAACCTGCACACAAAACAAACTAACAATCCAATGTCTTGGGGTAAACCCCAAGAACTCCAAACAAAATATCAATTAAGGTCACAAGGTATCTAACATAAGCCAAGTTTGTATTCCTAAGTCCAAGAAGTCCAATACTCCATAATGCCAAGGATAGTAACCAAGTAGTCCAAGTATCATTAATATTTTTTTATGGTTCATGTTGATTATTAAGTATCTTCAAAAGGAAAAGAAAAAGCTCAAGTGAGAAAAATAAAAATGGCATAAAAGTAAATGCTCAAGTGAGAAAAGATGAAAATAGCATGAAATATAAATGCTAAAGTAAATGGTACATAAAGTAAAGGCATAAAAAAGGCATAAAATAAAGTCAATTGTTATAAATTAGTGGTTAGTTGGATGACCATCTTGAAACTTGCATTTGGAACTCATTAGAGGATTAGTAGAACCAAATCCTCTCAATAAAAAGTTGCATTTTCTTTTTGTCAAGTATATCATCCATTTAAGAATCCCCAAGGCAACATTTAAATGATCAATGATATTTAAGTGATCCGAGTTGACCAAAATTAATGAAGATTCATTGGAAGATTGGTAGAACCAAAGCCTCCTAACAATGAATCTCAAGGTTATTGGATCAAAGGGTTCAAATTAACATACTTGGGCTTGAAGACATAGGTTTGGGCCACGAATGATTATTTTCTCAAATTGGGAAAAAATTTAATGCTATGTTAAGCAATCGTAAGTGGACTTATGTAAAAGTCGCACCTATTTTGAGGTCGGTCAATAGAAATATATGTACCTCATGTTTGGATAAATGATATGGAGATCATCCCTTTAACATGTAGCACAAAATAAAAAATAAAGGGATAAGATGAAGAGGAGGGGAATGGCAAGCTAATTTGGATCACTACTTCAAATTTCTTTCATCTTTAAATTCAATCACTCATCTTGGTGGATTAAAGTACTAAACATATCATTAATCCAAAGCACCAAAAATGAATTGAATAATTCACTCTTTGGTAGACTTGAATTAATGAACATTTATCCAACTTCATCTACACCCAAAGTTGAATTTTTTTTATTAATAACCAAGTATTAAAATAATATTTCGCAAATAACCGGGTTTCGGAAAAAATTACGCAAATAACCATGTTTGAGATGGCTCCACAAAGGAGGAGCCATCTCAATTGGCGCATGCTCCTCTTTTTTTAAGGGAGGAGCCATCTCACTTGGCGCCTAAGTGCTTAGGGCAAGCCCTAAGCCAAGTGAGATGGCGCCTATGTAGAAAATTAGGGCAAAAATTTTTTTTTTATTTTCTTTCCTGCGCGTTGCGTATTAGACAGAGATCAACAAAATAGATTTTTTATTTAAAAAAAAATAATTACATTCAACTGTTTTACATTTAAAGAACAGTAAAAAATGGATACAAAAAATACTGGGGAAAAAAAAGATACATCAGTGATCCCCAGGAACCCGGTAATGACCCCCAGTTCCGCATCCCCGTCCTCGCCTTTCTCTTGCTGGGTGCCGTCTCGTTTCCTGCTGCGGCAAGGTCGATGGCCCAGCGAAGTCAATGCGATCCGAATCCATAAAATCAGTAAGATCTCCATATCTCGAAGATCCGCTCTGGTACAGTCGGTTACCCATACCCTCGAAGTTTGGTTGTGTTGGCGGTGGGTGGGGTTCCATGGTTGGTCGGTAGCATTGGTCGTATGAGTATGGGGGGTAGAAAGGAAATGGATCTTGGGGTGTTTGGTATTGTGGATGTTGGGTTGTTTGGTGATATGGTGGTTGATGGTAGGTTTGGTCGGCTTGGTCATAATCTTCTGACATTCCCATATCAGGGCTAAGGCTGGATGTTGAGGGCGCCATATTGGGATATGTGGAAGACTGAAATTGTGTCTGGGGTATGTGGGTTTGCTGGTATTGGGGTTGGTATTGTGGTTGGGTTTGAGGCATATCTGGGTATTGGTAGTTTGGCGGTGATTGTGGTTGGTAGTACGGCATTTGATTGTAGTTGTGTTGTGGTGGGGAATGTGGTTGTGTGTTTGTTGGTCTGTTTCTTCTTGGGGGTTGGTTTGAGGTTGATGGATTTTGGGTTTGTTGGTGGGGAATCGAGGGTTGTGCCCATTGTGTGTGTGGGTCAACCAAGTACCTCGGATGAGACACGTGCATATCTGGGTTACTAACCGACCTGTACCACGACATATATTGATCAGTGTGTCGCATGTTACCTTGAGTAAGGAAAACCGGGGATTGCAAGATGTAGCGGTGATGCCTTTGCCACATTTTACACCATTCTGGAGCAAAGTCTTTCCAGTTGGTAAGACCCCACTGGGCGTCGACCCTTTTTAGATGCCAGTGGGACAAATCTGTTGGATCACTTGGTATCTCTTGGATCATTCCGAACTGCATCTTCACACGGTCGCTGTGGTGCATCTCCACAATGTTGAACCGAATGAGTGCAGTCTTTGCAGTCCAAGTTGCTGCATCCTCTGGATTTGGAGAATGGCCCAAACCCAAATATGGTCTCCAGACGAACTGCGATAAAATTTAAATCAGGTAAGCGCAAAAGTAATGTATAAATAATTAAAATGAACAAAAGTTAAAAGCTACGACGTACGTCATCTGGGCCTAAGTGATCCAACAGATTCCGGTAGAGTGCGACATTGAATCTGGGATTCTTGCCGTAATCCATACCCCTCACGCAGTACCTAAAGGAAATGAGAAACATGTTATTTTTAGCATATATTTTGGAAAGAGCAGAATAGTTATAAATGCTATAACTTAATGACTTACTTTATTGCGTACGGGAAACCAAAAACGTACAATCAATAAACCTAAAACATTCCAACCTTCATACCTTAAAACAATTCTACACAATGGCCTCTTCACCACAATTTGTTGTCAAAGCACATTTCAACGGTGAGACATACATGTGTCCCACAGTTGGGTTTTTGTTTAGAAACACCGACAATGTTCGATTTCTCTTAAACGGGAAAGCAAATTTCTCGTACTTTAAGAAAAGATTGGAGGCCAAACTTGAACGAGGCCCGGTATCCCAGATATTTTATCAGAGTCCAGTCTTTTTTGGAAACAACCAAGTTATTTTTTATAAGGTTGAAATTCAAGATGATGAGGATTTCCAGAACATGATTTCCAGCCATGTCTATTCTGGAAACGACTCTATTGAGTTGTACATTTTGTTTCAAGAGCCTCCGGTGACACAGGAGGTAGAGCCTCCGGTGACACAGGAGGTTGATCCTTTGGAGAATGAGCAAGATGAGGTGGATGCAGTTGATGATGAAGAAGAAGATAACGAGTTAGAGTTTGATGAAATGGTGAACGACGATTCTGACGATGATGGCATCCCAAGTATTCCTACCGACAAAATATACATACCACCTACGCACATGACAAACTTCAACATGGGCGGAGATGAACCTTCTACGGACTTGTTTTTCCAACCGTATATGCAGTCGGATGAAAATTTAAAAGAGAAGGACAAGTTTCGTAATAGAGAGGAATGCATAAGGGCCATCAAAAAATTTCACATGCTCAACTCGGTTGATTATAAGGTGGATCATGTAAACCCGGAAAGGTACAAGATCAAGTGTGTCCACCCTGACTGTATGTTCAAGCTGACCGCTTCATACAGACTAAGGGGTGACTGCTGGGTCATAGGTTCCATGACTACCCATACTTGTGTAAGTTCCACTCAATCACAAGACCACCGAAAACTCAACCATGATCTAATCTGTCAAGAAATCCTACCCCTGGTCAGCAACGACCCTTCTTTGAAGGTGAAAACAATCATCTCCCACATCACCACGGT